AAACATAAGCTCATATCGTTACACCCCTGTTTTAGTCTGATAATGTACTAGCATTGAGGAAAGTAATAATAACTATTATTAGTTAGTAACAAGAACTAGGTGCTGTATAAAAAGTATATTTCTAAACCTGAGGAAAGGGGGAGAGGATGCCAAGTGCAAACAGTCACTTCCATTGAGCCAGTGTGGATTAGTGGTTAGAGTTCTGGACTAGGACCAGGAAGACATGTGTTGCCACGAAAGGTACTGGCTGACCTTGGGACAGCCACCCTCTCTCAGCCTAACCTACCTCACAGAGTATTTGTGAGGATAAAAGAGAGCCAGTTTGGTGTAGTGGTTAGGAGCGCAGACTCTGATCTGGGAAAACCAGGTTTGATTCCCCACTCCTTCACATGCAGCTGCTGAGTGACCTTGGGCAAGCCACAGTTCTCTCAGGGCTGTTCTTGTAAGAGCAGTTCTCAAATAGTACTTTCAGCCGCACCTACCTTACAGGGTGTCTGTTGGGGAGAGGAAGGGAAGGGGATTATAAACCGATTTGAGACTCCAAGTGAAGGGTAGGGTATAAATCCAACTTCTTCTTCTTCTTCTTCTTCTTCTTGTTCTTCTTCTTCTTCTTCTTCTTCTTCTTGTTCTTCTTCTTCTTCTTCTTCTTCTTCTTGTTCTTCTTCTTCTTCTTCTTCTTCTTCTTGTTCTTCTTCTTCTTCTTCTTCTTCTTCTTGTTCTTCTTCTTCTTCTTCTTCTTCTTCTTGTTCTTCTTCTTCTTCTTCTTCTTCTTCTTGATACAGACTTCAGTTGTGCCACAGAAGCGCTACACTTCTTCTTCTTCGGAGTAGTAGGACTATGTCCATCACCCTGAACTTCTTGAAGAAAGAATGTGGTAAAAATGCACTAAATAAATTAATCAATAAAATGTATCAGCCCCTAAAAGTATAAGAAAAAGGTCAGACAAGGTCACTGAGCAATTAATAAGCTTCCCTTATAGCCTATTTTAAATTATTTTTATTTATGATTTTACTGTCACCATAAACAGATGTATCTGGTACAATATTAAAATTACATACAGCGAGTCTATCATATTATTTTTACCTAACCAGGTATATAATTTGTTCCATCTTTCTCTAAACAGGTCATCATCTTTCCCTTGTAGTATTATTGACAATTTGTCCATCTCTGCTATATCCAACAATCTAGATATTATATCTTCTTTGGAAGGTATTCTTTCCGATTTCCAATATTTCGCAAACATAATATGCGCTGCTGTTAATATATATGTTATTACATATTGATCAGTTTTTTTAGCCTTATCTGGTAGTATATTTAACAAAAAGACTTCTGGTATATATGGTACTTCTATGTTCACAATTTCATAAATTATTTTATACACTTTGCGCCAATAATTTTGAGTTATATGGCACCTCCACCACATATGATAGAAAGTTCCTACACTGTGCTTACACTTCCAACAATTTTTAGACATATTTGTATAACATTTAGCTATTCTTTCTGGTGACCAGTGCCATCTAAAAAACATCTGATATATATTTTGTTTATAAGGTATTGCTCTCATGAATTTTATGCCTTTCCATATTTTGGACCAGTCATCTATATCCACATTATGACCTAAATCTTGCATCCATGAAATCATTGGGGCATTTATTTATTTATTTATTTATCTCGTAAATAATCCTGGAGAAATAAATTATATAACTTCTGTATCATTTTATCGCTAGAGGACAACCAAATTTTGTCTAAGTCAGTTTTTGTTTCTTGCCAACCAGTCTTTTTGTCTTTATTATATCTAGAGTTTGAGTGTTTTCCCACCAGGTCAATTTAATATTTAGCATATTTAGGTCATCTTGAGTTTTCAAAGTATTGTTCTTATCTAGTAGCGTTTCATAGGTCTCTATTTTTTTTTTTGAAAATAATATAGGTTTTACAAAGGTTTACAATGGGGATACCCTTTTGGGTATATTATTATAATAACATCCTTTTATTTCCTGCCATACTTTTATTAAGGCACCGCGTACAGTATGTTGTTGAAAGTTACTACGTATTTTTTCTTTTCCATACCAAATGTATGCGTGCCATCCCATAGCTAGATTATGACCTTCTAAACTTAAAAGTCTTCTGTTTTCTAATGTCAACCAGTCTTTAATCCATCCCATGGCCATTGCTTTATAATATAAATTCCAGTTAGGTATTCCCAGACCTCCTCTTTCTTATCTTGAAGAATCATCCATTGTATACGAGCTGGTTTATTATACCATACAAATCTTCTACATAGTTTGTCTAGTTCTTTAAAAACATTTTGGGCTTGGTCACACGGGCAGGAAACTGCAGGGGGGAAGCGTGGCTGTTTGCCCCGGGGCAAACTAATGCGTGGTTAAGCGATCAGATGTCCTGTGGAGGTACCGTGGAGGTTCCGTGGGTAGGGAGAGGTGCCGATCACAGGACACGCCTGCGCGCAACGAAGAAGCGCGCGGTGCGGCAATCTGGTTTTCTTTTTTGTGTACACGACAAATGCGCATGCTCTGTTGGGTGCGTGTGCGCATCCATGGAGACTTGGGGGGGGAAACCTTTTTTGCAAGGGGACATGGGCGGGCACCGGATGCCACCAGAAACGCGATCAGACGCCCGCCCTTGCCCCGCGGTTTCCAGTAACTAGTACCTCCGAGGTACTATTTTTTTGCTGCACGTTTTCGGCTGGAAGCCTCGGTTGTGCCACAGAAGCGCTACACTTCCCAGATGTGCCGGTGAGATCACACCCGGAAAATCCGCCTGTCTTCCGTCTCTCTTGCGTTGCTAATGTTTCGTGTGACCACAGCCTTGGTTTCTCAAAATTGGTATGTTTTGTGCTAAGAAGAGGAATCTAGGGAGGATATTCATTTTATTGTAGCGATTTTCCCCATAAGTGACAGATTTAACTCTTTCCATTTCTGGAAGTCTCTCTTAATATCATTCAATAATTTTTATAGTTATCTTCTATCAGAGTATTATTTCTGTTGGATATCACAATACCTAGATATTTCACTTTTTTAGCTATTTCTGTCATAATTTTTTTTTGTATTTGATCACTTTCCTTCTGGGTACAGTTTTTAGTTATGATGTTTGGTTTTTTATAGATTTTTAGTCCCGCTACTTGGCCATATTCTTGGATTATGTTCATAAGGTTCATATGGCATTGAGGTAATTGGATCTTCCAGTATAAATACCAAGTTATCCGCAAACGCTTGTAATTTGAATTCTTCTTCTCTGACCTTTAATCCTTTAATCTGTTTACTTTCTCTCACTAAATCATTTAATGTTTCTAGCGCAAATATAAATAGCAGCCTTATAGCCTTCTTAAAAGGTGATGCATTAGGCCAGTTACTGGGATAGAGGAGGTGACCCCATACCAAGTATGTTATGCCTTATTGCTGACAGCCAACTGAAGAGGGAATAAAACTACAGACAGATGATTCTGTAAATTACGTCCTGTGACCAGAGCTGCACATGTCTGGGGAATGGATTTTGCCCTAAGTAATTAAGCAAGTAAAATTATGGGGGGGGTCTTCCTCTTTAAAGCATTCCCAAAGAAACAGGATGGCCTTGAGGGTCAGCATGATAGCTGCTCAGCTCTTAACATTACTGTCTGGGCCCATAACCTGTTGGAGAGTGCCTATGTAGCACCAACAATTACTTCCAATTACCTGGTATTCCCAGAAGGTAGTAGGAAGATGTGCTTTGTAAAAGTTCTTTTCTGAGGGTTCATCACAGCCCTTTCCCCTGCCCTTCCTGTGTCATCCAAATAATAGCATGCCTTTGTTTCACTCAGGTGGCTTTGCTACGGGCACACGCAGGGGAACACCTCTTACTGGGAGCAGCCAAGCGGTCAATGATCTTCAAAGACATCTTACTACTAGGTAATATCTCAGGAGACTTCTGCTTCTTCTAACTAATAGAAGAGATGTTTTCTTTGTAGGGATTTGGAAGGAAAGGGGTGCTGGCCTCCTGTTTCTAATTCAAATGCTGGATTGGCAAGCAATTGAACAATGAGGCCTGAAACAGAATGTAGTTTTTACAAGAGTTGAAAGCAGGTTGAGAGAGGATCAGTCCTCGTTTTTCTTTAAAGATGAGTTGTGAGTTTTTGAAACAATACCAAAATCAGCAAAGAAAGCCAGTTTCCTAAGGGTGAGAACATAGAAGCAGCCCTGCTGGATCAGTCCAAAGATCTATCTAATCCAGAATCCTGTTGAGTCCACTCTGTTAAGCAGTGATGCCCACAAGGAGGGTGTGAAGTCTGCTGTCATCACCTCAAGGAGTGAGGGTGGGAATCCCACTTCCAAACTATCATCTGCCTCCATTATGACCTATGGATTTTGTTGCTGTTTTGCAAGGTCATAGAAAATTCTGCAGCAGTGGGACTTGTATAATAGCAGAACTGGGAAGCCTTCATTCTGTTTTCTGAAAATCAAGACCATATAAAATTTTTAAAAATTCTTTGTAATGGATTTGGGAAGTTAAAAAATGCCACCTGCACAAGGTGGACCCTTTATCAGTCAGAAGACCTGATAGGAAACATTTTAAATGACAAATAAAGGAGAGAACGTGAACACATTTAGGCTCCGATTTGCAAACAGTTAACTGCTACATATTCTGGAAGACATTAGAGGAAAGGCCATGACTCAGTGGTGGAGCACATGCTTTGAATTCAGACGGTTTCAAGTTTCATATCGGGCATCTCCTGTTAAGAATCTCCAGGCCTAACTACATGTGATCTTTCCCCCTGGGTCTGCATGGTCTACATGTATTGGTGAGTTCTCCACTGGGAACACAGTTCTTAATGGTGTGACACCCTGTTCAGGACTAGGGCACACAAGAAGAAGGGGCTTCAGCTTTCCCCCTGTGTCCTTTTCCCAATCCGAAGTGGCCTCAGGGCACTCCACATGCAATGAAAAGGTACATGACCCATGGAATTGCATAGTAAATCAGACCATTGGCCCATCAAAGTCAGTATTCTGTACTCAGACTGGCAGAGACTCTCCGGGGTCTCAAGCAGAGGTCTTTCACACTACTTGCTACCAGTGTTCCCTCTAAGATGAGTTAGTGTGAGCTAGCTCACAGTTTTTTAGCCTCCGGCTCACACATTTTTGTCTCAACTCAGGGAGGAGGGCTCCAGAGCAAACTAATTTATGCAGCAGCCAAATCGCTCGCTCACAACTTTAATGCCAGGAGCTCACAAAGTAGAATTTTTGCTCACAAGACTGCACAGCTTAGAGGGAGCATTGCCTGCTACCTGATCCTTTTAACTGGAGATGCCAGGGATTGAACTTGGGGCCTTCTGCATGCCAAGGAGATGTTCTGCCACTGAACCATGACCCCCTCCCATACATAAAGGCTTCCCAGTGGGGCCAACAGTGCTTCCCCATGGCCATTTTAGTTGGGAAAACAACATGGGAGGGGGAAGTACATGCACATGTACCCTCTTCCCATATACTTTGTTCCTGATCCAAATCAAGTCCTTTGCACCTAGAGATTGTGTTCCCAGCAGGGAAATCACAAGTACACATCTGACTGATAGACTGGGGCCACTTAGGCCCTCAGGTAGGAGGTCCTGGGAAAGACATTTCTCTGCCTGGGACCCTGGAGAGCTCTGCTATCAGTTAAGACAACCTTAAACTGTACATATAAATAACTCCATGGCACCCGCCACCCAGTATCAAAAAGAGAACAGACCATCAATTGATGTATTGGGGTGGGGGTAGCTGGAATCACCTGATGTGATTTCAGCTTGTCTTCTAAAATAAAAAAGCTGTAAAATAAGAAAAAAAGGGAATGCCTGAAAGCTTCATTGATCAATTTCCCCTTGTTGCTAATTTATATATGGATAGAGGGGTCAAATATTAGCATCGTTTAACCTGCAGTGTGTACAGAAGAGTGAAGGCACCCCATTTGGTCTTTAAAGAATACCACTTTTGCCTGCAGGAAATGATCACATAATCCCCAGGAACTGTCCGGAATTGATGGAGGTCAGCCGTGTGGCTGTGCGGATCCTGGATGAACTTGTGCTGCCTTTCCAGGAACTGCAGATTGATGATAACGAATATGCGTGTTTGAAAGCCATCATCTTCTTTGATCCAGGTAGAATGGGGGGCGGGGGGCGGTGGCATTGCACTAACTGGAAAAGAATCAAACAGTTAAAAATAGGTTGAATCACCAGTTGCAGATCTCTAGGTGGTTAGTTGGTTATATGAGCAAGCATCGACAAAGGATTCTCAAAAGACCTACTGCCTCAGGAGATAATAGTCATAATATATACAGCTAATTTGTGTAGCTCTTTGTTTAAAGTGACTCGAATAAATGATCTCAGTAGTCCTTACAGTATCCCTTTAAGGTGGTGGAAAGGGCTGTCAGGTTGCAACTGACTTATGAAGACCCTGCAGGGTTTTCAAGGCCAGAGACATTCAGAGGTGCTTTGCCATTGCCTGCCTCTGCATAGCAACAATGGACTTCCTTGGTGGTCTCCCATCTAAGTACTAACCAGGGCTGACCCTGTTTGCCTTCTGACTAGATCGGGCTAGCCTGGGCCATCCAGGTTGTGTCAGGATTGTGGAACCAACCAGCAATCTAAAAACAGAATTGAAACAAAGCATAAGTGTTAACGTGAGCCATGAAATGATGCAAAATTATATACTAGGATCCTACTTACAGTAAGCGATGCACAGTAGTATAGAGCACAGTCCCGAATCATTTGTCTAGGGTGAATCATTTTGTACAGTTTGAGGGGCAGGAGCTGAATATTCAGAGAAATGCTGCCACAAGATATTCCAGATAAAAGAAAGAAGAGTGTATTCCTAGGCAGAAGTAAAAGGCCTGGGTAGAGTTTAGAATACGTTCAGTCCTGACTGTGGAGTCGGTTGACTAATGCAGCACGAAGGCATCTGAATCAGTCTGAATCCGTGAGCCGTGCTTGGGAGACTCACCCGCCCTTTAGGAATGGCATTGCCTTGAACATCTTGTGGTTTCCTCCAGATGCTAAAGGCCTCAGCGACCCCACCAAGATCAAAAGGATGCGGTATCAAGTCCAAGTCAGCCTAGAGGACTACATCAACGACCGACAGTACGACTCCCGGGGACGCTTCGGAGAGCTGCTGCTTCTGCTGCCGACCCTCCAGAGCATCACCTGGCAGATGATAGAGCAGATCCAGTTTGTCAAGCTCTTCGGCATGGCCAAGATCGACAACCTGCTGCAGGAGATGCTGTTGGGGGGTGAGTAGTGGAGCTGAGAACTTTGCTGCCGTTGGCCTTCAAGGCTTTATGTGTTATGCTAAGAAGAAGGTGCTGGTGAGAGGGAGGAGGAAACAGCTGGAGCCATAGAACAGCCCCTGGCTCAGAAGTCCCTGATTAAGAGAGATTTTAGTTAGTCCTCCCAATTTGATTGGCATACAGTCAAGAAGTTCCTCGTTGAAATAATGTTATTGACTTTCTTTCACCACCAGCCTGTGGAAAGAAAGAGGCAGTACACAACCCGGGACATGTCTTCTTCTGCTTTAAAATGCTACTAGCAGATTGAGGGAGCCAGTTTCCAATATCAAAATGAAGTTGAGGTCAAAAGGTTAAAACCCCTCTCTGTTCCCTACATGGCCCTGAGGAAAACTGAGGCCCCTTAAGGGTGTGTGTGTGTTCTTTTGCAAGTGCAATTAAAAAATTGCAAATCCCCAAAGAACGCTCCAGGAATGTTTTTTAATAACATAAACAATTGCAGGGTCGTCGAGTGACACGCCTCATGCTCACCATCATGCTCTGCACCCACACCTTATCCAGGAGAATCTCGGGACAAACGTCATTGTGGCCAACACGATGCCTGCTCAAATCCACAACGGGCAGCTGTGTGAGTATCCCTGCACAAGCAGTTTGTCTTTCTAGGAACGCTCATCTTTGCACTGAATCATGGTACTTGGAGTGAGTTAGGCTGTGTACAGATAATATTCTTTTGCTAATGATACAGACAGAGGCAGTGTGCTCTGCACCGGAGGCTGTCTAGCTGCATGGATAGCTGAACACTCCCCCCCCCCCCCCCCGCACACTGTTTACCTGACCAAGCTGCTGTTTGCTGTGTTTGAGGAAGCATACAATAATATGCTGAAAACTGTTTCTACCACATAAGTAAATAGGAGCTCTGGAGAGACCATTTAAAGTCAGGCACAGAGGAAAAGGATAATGCGGCCACTGAATGCCATCGCTCCAGCCTGAATCTATTTGGTATTTAACAGTAGTTCTTTTCAGTCATTATGTCTTTGGCATTCCTACCTTGTGTACCAGGAGCGGGAACTATGTGCTACCCTTGAGACACATGCAGTTGCCATTATGTGTGAATAAGTATGCAGAACTTTCAGGGGCTGAAGCCTGGAAAGACTTATATCACCCTGTTCATACAAAATGGCCACCATGCTTATCTGCTGGATCTCTCCCAGTATGCAGAAGAGGAGCAGGAGAAACATAATGACTGGACAGGGGTAATTTTAGAAAGTGCTGGAGATCCGTCTGCCAACATCTTATCTGCTTTGTCCGTGACTTAAGCCTTGTGCATTGCAATGCCTTTGCTTCACTCATGTGCTTTGACTGCACAACTGCTTATTTCGTAACATTGGGGTTTTTTTTCCTCCCTGCAGCCACTCCTGAAACTCCTCAACCTTCCCCACCCTCTGGCTCGGGAGCTGAACAATACAAACTGCTTCCTGGGGCCATTGCAGCTGTAGCCAAACAGCCGAGCCTGATCCCTCAACCCACCATCACAAAGCAAGAGGTCATCTAGCATCTGACCGAATGAATCCATCCCTTTGTCACAAAGACCCTCCTGCAAAGGGGCTGGGGGACAGACCCCTCGTGTTCTCATCTTGATCGCTCTGGACGTGGAATATTCCCCGAGGAATCCCAGGGCACGGAGGCCTGGGATTCGTTCATCAGCAACCGCATGTAAATGGCAACTCTGCATGCAACCGTTGGAACATGGGCGCCTGAGCATTGCAGAATTGGCGCATTGGTCTTGATGGATGCCTCATTTGTAGGGCTGGATCCCATACTTCACACTGGATGGCGGACTGCTTAAAAAAAATTGCACTGACCTGCCTGTTTCTTCACTGCCACTGAGTTGTTTGCTTTTTAAAAATTTCTCTGCCGATCTGACTATTTGGGGGGGAACGGCAGCATACTGGGGTGGGGGGTGGGGACGACACATCAACACTGGGGCATCTCTAAATAGCTCCATGCTCCTCCAAGGACATAATGGAATTACGCATTACCCAATGAGTGTGGTCCCCAAGGAGGAAAATGTAGAGTTCGAACTGGCTGCTGCTTCTTCCACGGCTTCACTGCCAGCCTCGGGACAAAACAAATTAAGCGCCTAGCTTTGATGCTTCCTGTGGTCTTCAGTGACAAACGAAATTCAGATCATGTTCTCCTGAACTACAGATCACATGGTGACACTTGATGCAGCTAATGGTTGGTGACTGAAGTGAAGGACCCCAGCAGGCCATTAGAACAAACAACCACCTTGCTGTCTCATACCAAGGGTCAACTGCCCTCCTAACTGTGGCATGTCACATAAATGAGATGGCCTCCTTCACTTGGTTTAACCCTGAAATTTGGCTCTCAAGTATATTGCTTATGGACATGGAGGTTCCATGTAGCTGACAAGATTGATGGGCTTTGGTACATTTCTCCTCTTGGTGAATTTGGTCTAATCCTAATTTGCTTTTCTGGAGCCAGGTCAATTTATTTTGGCGTGGAGGGGGATTCATCTGTATTGAGGTTCAGTTGCTTTTGGTGGCCTTGTTCCCTTTCTGTATCCAAAATATTATTGTCTGGCTATATGGAATGGAAATATGATGGAAATGTGTGCTTCAGTGAACATCCTAATCCAGTTAGACAAGTCCAGCTCCGTGTAGCTTCCTTATACTAAATCAGACCATTGGTCTATTACGGTCAGTATTGTCTGCTCTGACTGGCTGCAGCTCTCCAGGGCTGTGGCTCAGTGGCAGAGCCTCTGCTTCTCCTGCAGAAGGTCCCAGGTTCAATCCCTGCACCCCCAGTTAAAAGAACCAGGCAGTAGGTGATGTGAAAGATCTCTGCCCGAGACCCTGGAGAGCTGCTGCCAGTCTGAGTGGCCAATACTGACTTTGATGGACCAAGGGCCTGATTCAGTATAAGGCAGGCTCACGTGTGTGTCTTTCATCTCACCTATTACATTATGCTTTTAACTGGCATTGGCAGGGGCGAACCTGCGACTTTGTGCGTGCCAAGCAGATGCTGTATCACTGAGCCACAGCCTATCCACTTTCCATCCACTTCTGGACACGAATAAGATACAGAATAATGGCGTGTTATATATTTTCCCAGATGCTACTCTTTTGGAGATGATGGAGTACATATGAGTGCAAACTAGTGGGGTTGGGGAAGACAAAGGCCCAAGGATGGCCTGACCTCCTGAGGACTTGCCCCAGGTCTCACCACCATCCAAGGTGTTCATAGATCATGGAAGCCATTTTGTGTGTGTGTGCTGTCAAGTTGCAGCTGACTTTTGGCAACCCCGTAGGGCTCTGAAGGCAAGAGACATTCAGAGGTGGTTTGCCATTGCCTACCTTTCATAGCAACCCTACACTTTCTTGGTGGTCTCCCACCCAAGAACTAACCAGGGCTGACCTTGACAAGACTGGGCTAGCCTGAGCTATCCAGGTCATGGCAAGGAAGTCCATAGATGACTGCATGTGTGGGGCCAACTGTACATTTTGTCAGGATTCATGCTGACTGCAAGAGCAAGCGGGCATGACAATGCAAAGTCGGATTCCTGGTTTTGAACTCTTGATGCCATGTCATTTGCTGGGAAGTGCTCGTGTGAATCCTGCCATTGCTTCCCATACATGGCAATTATGGTACATCCCTAGAGCCTGTGAGATTTGGAAATCATAGCGAAGGAGGGTTGGAGGGACTGGGATGGAATCTAGCCCTATTCACAAGTTACAGTGAATGCACATACATCCTGTATGTATATGTATGCATCTGCGTGTAAGGAAGAGCCAGCATGGATTCACTTTGCAATTGAAATAAAGGACCAGTATGTGGATAAACGGGAGGGTCTGTATCACACTTTCAGCTGTACATGTGTTGAGTGTAACCTGAGAATTACCCAATGCATGTATTTTTTAAAAAATCAAGTGTACACGCTACGTGTATTGTACATGTATTCACTGTAACTTTTGAACAGGGTTCTTATCTCCCTGTTTTGAAGTCTTCAGCACATACCGCTGTCATATTTTCAAAGCTGCCTCCGCAGCCATGAGGTTTAGGAACCTGGAAAAAAAATCAGCAAGTCAGGATTCTAAAGGCTGCATGGAAGTGGCCCTGCTTGTGATGCGACGATAGATGTTGATCACTGCAGAATTAAACAGGAGTGTACAAGATAGCATACCTGAAGGATGCCTTAGTGGTCACTAAACATGCACCTCTTGGGTGTTGATGTATCTGTTATTCTTTTTTAGCAAGCTGGTCTCGTGTCAAGCCCTGATTTAGTTAACCTAGTGAAGGAGAACATCAAAAGGTAAAAGAAAACCAAATGTCATTTGCAAGGTCAAGGACCTTGAAGTGCCTTTCTTTTATTCCAAGATACCACATAAAAATAGTAAATGAATGAAGTTTCTAGTTTCTTTTTTGCCATCAAGTCACAACCGACTTATGGTGATCCTGTGGCAGGAGACGTCCAGAGGTGGTTGGCCATTGCCTGCCTCTGCATAGCAACTCTTGTATTCCTTGGGGTCCTCCCATTTAGATACTGACCAGGGTCGCCCCTGCTTAGCTTCCAAGATCTGACGAGATCAGGCTATCTTGGGCTATAGAGAAATAGGGATCCAGTTCATGAGGAAATGAAAAGTCACTATAAGATCTTTTGGCCCTCAGCATTTATGTGGTGAAATTATACTGTGAGAAGACTCCACATGAAGTGAGATTACAAGTTACCACATTTGACCTCCTGATGGCACTGGTATTTCTGGCCACTGTGTGATACAGAGCGTTGGACTGGATGGGCCTTTGGCCTGATCCAACATTGGCATCTCTTATGTTCTTATGTAAAGAAACTAAAGAAGTTAACACGTTTTTAAGGAAGTTAATTTCTAACATTTTCTAGGATGCAGCAACTTATGAGGTCCTCTGTACAATGCAACTATGGAGGGGGAAAGTACACTTTGGGGTGAGGCTTCCTCCTCAGAAATGGTTGTGTGAACTGGCCTTACAAAAACGAGGGCTCTGAATGACCCAGGATGGTCAGCAAAGAAGCGCGGCTGAAACACTGAATTCCTTATTTACATAAACGGTGTCTGTTGTCAACAGGTCCATCTAGTTCCAAACTCTCTCTCTAGTCTGACTGGCAACAGCTCTCCAGAGTCTCAGCGGAAAAACGTCTTTCCCAACAATTGCCATCTGAGGTAACTTTGAGAGGCCAGGGATCTGAGCCACAGCTATTCCCCATGGGAGGAACCTCACATGCTCACAATGAATGTGGGAAAGACACTTTGATCTTCTCTGACTGCCAAAAAGACAAATAAGCGGGTTCCAGATCAAATCAAGCCTGAACTTTCCTTAGAAGCTAAAATGACCATACTGAGGGTATTGTACTTTGGTCACATCATGAGAAGAACAAAAGTCGCTGGAAAAGGCCATCATGCTAGGAAAGGTTGAAGGCAGAAGGAAAAGAGGAAGACCCAACATGAGATGGATGGACAAGCAAGGCTGTTCAGGACAGGACTTTTTGGAGGCTGTTAATTCCTAGGGTTGCTATAAGTCACAAGTGACTTGACCGCGCTTAACACACACAGAGCACATATTTAACATCTTTCCACCCATAACCCCCCCCCCCCAGGCAAACATACATTGCAATGGAAGTTCAGCCGTGATGGCCAAGTGTCTTCCAGGGAATATATGGTGCTGCCTGGTAGGAAAGACCTGAGTCTGAGGTCTTTCTCCGGCCTTTAAGTCAGGAACCAAATCTGGGAATTTATGCACCAAGGTACAATGCTCTGCTTCTGAACACTGTCCTCTCTTGCTATTTCTGGCCTTTCCATTCCGAAACCCATACAGTTATGAAACTTTGGAGGGTGTGTGACTCAGCTCCTTCCATCTCCGTACATTTAAAAACTGGAATTATACACTGGGGAAAGGCTAGCTTATGGTGACCACCAATGTTCCCTCTAAGCTGTGGAGTCTTGTGAGCAAAAATTCTACTTTGTGAGCTACCAGCATTAAAACTGTGGGCGAGCAGTTTGGCTACTGCACAAATTAGTCTGCTCTGGAGCCGTCCCTTCCTGAGCGAAGACAGAAAGGTGTGAGCCGGAGGCTAAAAAACTATGAGCTAGCTCACACTAACTCAGCTTAGAGGGAACACTGGTGACCACAGACATAGGTTTTGTGGTGTCATCTCTAGACTTGTAAAGGACAGCCGAAGTTGTAACTCTGCCAAAAGAACTCTCAAGTCTGATTCTTAACTGGAGAAAGGCCGACCTGTTGATATTAATGGAGCTCATCACATTGACTCTAGCCTGGAGTCTTTGCCCTTCAGTTCCGATGCAGAAATACACTCACCCGGCCAACAGACGGAGGGTGTCAAAGTATTGTCACATTTCCCAGCCGGGACTGTGTTATGCTGTGTAATTTATTACCACAATGGACCTAATCACTTTCCCCTGTAAATTATTATGTAAATCATATTGATTATTTATAATTGCAAAATTGAATGTGAATAACATAAATTACAATAGCGGCTGC